GGAACTAAAAATGAACAGAAATATTCAAGAATGATATTCTGCTTTCTCAGTTTTTATTGTTGGTACCCGGCTAATTTTAGCACCAAGAGCACCAATTCTATGAGCACCAATTCTATGTCACGTATTGATAAAGGAAGACCTTATTCATTCTTAACGTATCAGCAATATTCATTCAGCGCCGCAAGGGAAAACTTAAAATTTTCGTATCTTTATCAATGAAGTCCACCAAAAAAAGTTGAAGAATACGTTAAAAACTTGTGCTGTAAGATTTAAACCCTCTCTTTTTCTTTCTCAATATTTTGATAGCCCCTTTAACTTTCTTAACTCGGTTACCCAGGAGATGCAATATCTTTGACCAGGTTGAAATTTGACGGGCCCACGCTGAGGACGTAAATGTCCCGTAAGAAAATGTCGTTTTTGAATTTCAATTTCTGATGTTCGCCCACTTTTGCGATCTCCAACCCACTCTTTTTTCAAACTTTCGTCAAACGTCTCACAAACATTTTAATTCGTGGCAACGAAACGCGACCTTCTTGCTGTTAATAATCTCACAGTGTGTTTTGTCGACGTTTCTTCGATGAAAGTGTATGAAAGTTTTTTAGAGCGCAGCCATTTGACCTTTGGCACCCACAAGCGGGATCCTTTTAGTTGTCAACACTCCAAGTAAAGAAGCCTGCCTTCTTTTTTGCAGTTTTACGATCGATGTATTTCAATTTTCTCTTGTGACAAGATGAAAAGGGAAATTTGCTTCAATGAAAACATATTTCAGCCGATATACAAAAAAATTACTATAGCTAACACTGGCTTTATTTAGAAAATCGGGAGTTTCTTTCCAAATATCGCCTTGGATGAATTTTCGAAGTAATTTCGATGTACGCTACGATAGATACTCAGTTTTTTCGCTTAGACTTCCTGTGAAGATGCTGTGCGTTATTTAGACTGCCATGGAACACGGAAAAAACGGGATATTCATGTTACGAAGGAAAATATTTATGAAGAAATAAATATCAACCACACTTCAACCCGACACAAGTTCTAGAAAAAAAAAAACTTTTAAGGTTTCTATGGCTTACAAATAGACCAAAACCTGAAGTTATTTATCTACCTCTGCACCTAATCATTTTTTTGATATCCAACGTTTATTTTGAAAAAGAAGCTTCTCATTAAATGAAAAGTCTTCCTTAGTGACGATAATAATAAATACAGCTTTTCCTCACTGCGACTCAGCTGTTTTCTATCAATGGCGAAAACTACAATGTGGCGTAAGCTATTTTTGTACCAAACTTTTGTCTGTTAATTAAGACTTCCTTAGTAAACTTGTGGCGTTCAGTTTTTTTTAGAGGTTCTCACCCGCTGTTCCTGTTACAGAGTGAAGCAAACTCTGAACAGAAAGAAATTGTTTAAGATCTTGAAAATCAGATAGATAAATTTTGGTTGAAAACGGAAGTTGGTGACTAAATGTTTTTTTCTGTGCCTCCTCTGAATAAAACAGAAAATGAATTGCACCTCTTTAACTTTCAATGTGACAATCATAAAGCAAACACAATTTTCCTGTGAAATAACGGACAGATATCACAACAATGCTATTAATATACTTTCCAAGTTCCTTTCATTTTAAGGATTTCCGCAGATTATGCATCACGGTACAGAATTATCAAATGTGAAAAATCAATGTTTTAGAAAACATCGAATATGAAAAATACCGTTATGTTATCATAATATCTTGGTGAATTGCATTACTTTTTTATTAATGGTAAACAAATTTTATATGAGCAAAGACATGGTTTTGTGCATTATTAAAAGTTTAGTGTGTTTTTTCAAAGATCTTATTTAACAGTTCGGGTAAATCTTCCTAATCTTTTCTTTTTTTTTATCATTCTTGTCTGCCTGCCCATTCTTTTGTTTTACAATGTTTTTTTCATAACTCATGGCGATTGAGAGTTGGCCTGGAAGCTGGGTAACAGTCACCGAGCGGGAACGTACGCGAGTAACACGCGAGTGTCCTCTGGCTCGCGTGCGCCGGTTTGAATCACCCGCTAACTACGCGGGCAATTTTTTTCAAATTGCGACAGGTTCTTAGCTAGACACAACCAACATTTAATTTACCTGTTTTTCTTTTTTTAGCTCTACCAATCACGTATTTTGCGTGGCTCTTCCTGCGTGTGGAATCGTTTTACTAACAAGTACAGACATCCTTCAAAACCCTTTCTTCACATTCGGAGGATCTTTTCTTCTCGTGTTTTCCATCGCTCTGGGTCATTACGTGTTCAAAGCAGCGGAAGTCCTCACGTTCCGAAGCGAAATCTTCCATTACAAACCGCTCCTAGTCCACCATGTTGTTGCTATGGCAACATACGCTGTGATTTTGATATTCGAGGAAAACACTCTCATGGGAGTGGTGATGCTATGTGTCGAGGGGAGCCTGATATTTGCTGAGAGAGAAAAAGAACGCTTTCGTCAGGAGGTCAGTTTTGAACAGGAATCGACATCACGAAAGTGTGTGACGGCCCTAGTTTTTGTACTTGCTATTATCATCAAAGGAATTATCCCAGTCTCTATCATCATCATTGCGTTCTTAATGGCGCTAAACGAGCTTCTGCGCATGTCATACATCCCGCTGGCTTTCTTCTTTCTAAGCCTGGTCTTCTTCGCCTCTGTGAACCTGTGGTTCTTCCGAGACGCGTTCAACGAAGTTTCGCGCCAATTTACCAGGCACCCTCGCTTTCCCGTGATCATTATACCAATACACAACAACCAGAAACCCTCACCACCGACCACTGCTATTAACAACGAAGGGCTCAAGCAACTACTACTATCCAAGGAGGGCCTGGGGAGCTGCGTTAATGTGAGAGAAAATTCTCTCTGGGGAAAGGACGAGTTGAACTCAAGCCAAGATGCACCTGCGATCCTTCCAATGGAGTCTTCAACACCAGAGGAGATGAAAGGACAATTCGTTTTAGAAATTGGAAGTAAAGGAACTTATTAAGTTCCAGCTGATGTCAATCTCTTCATCAGAACGTTACATTGCTTGTAAAAATATCATCCCTTGAATTTCCCGTTTCAGTGTTTAACGGAAGAAAATTCGAAATTTGGTTTTATTGTTTTGCGTTATAAAATTAGACATTGAACATTTTAAGAAAATTTATAGTTTTTTTGTTGTATAGAAAAGTTCTTAAATAGAAGACAAAGGACAGACAAAGTTTTTCTGTTTAATTCATTATTTGCATTGTTGACCACAAAACCAAAGCTAGTTATGGAATGGATCATGTTACTACTGAGGGTGGGAAGGGTAGAGGCCAACTAGAAAACATTCTCCATAAAAGTACTTGAAAAAAAAAAACTTGAGCTAGGTGAGAGAAATTATTGATCTAGGCACGAAAGAAAATTCTTGCTGAAGACTTTGAACAATATATTCGAGCGCAAAAAAAGTGCTTTTTCCTCAATGAGACTTAAATATCAATCATTTTCTCAAAATTCAAACGTTTTTTGAGTTTGATAAGCCGCGAACATAAAAGTGGCTTTGGACATTATTGTTATTATCAATATGAAGTTATAAAATAATATTAATTTATTTAGTGACAAATTTCTGTGACAAGAACACTATGTAGAAATATCTGTGCCAAAAAATTCCACGAATTGATATCGTTTTTACACGGTTTAATTTTCAGGCGACAAAATGTATGTCATTTCTTTGTAAATATAACTTGTTTAAACTAAACTGTTAACGAAATAACAAAAATCAAGTTTTTATTTATTGAAGTACTCAAAGAGGTAGAGATACTCACCCAAAAATTTCAAAATAAAATGAAAACTTAAAATTAGCCCTGTCTTGTTGAATGTCTGGGGCCTAGGCCTGAGTGAGGAAATGATGAAGTGTGTCTCAAGGTTGAATGGGTGACCACCCAAAAGTGATCAAGTTGTAACTTCTCTTTACAACATCAATCCAAATTCCAGCAAAGATATTCTGAGAATATACAAACCTCTCAGCTAATGGGTATGATCTTTCCTTAATACCCAGTTCTCTTGGTTTGTTTATAACAGTGGCAGACTTGGGAGGGGGGGGGGGGGGGGGGGGGGGGGGGGTGGAATTGGCGAAAGGGGTTGAGAGTCCAAGAAAAAAAACCCTCTCGCCCTTAATTTTATCGTGGCCAATAATGATCTAGTTTAAAGTTGGAAAAACACCCAGACTTAATCTTTTGATGATGTTATCAAAATTATTTCAACAATTGCCCATATACATTGATAATGTGTCCTGAAACTCGATTGGAAATTCTTGTAATCAGGTGCACACTGGATGAATGTCAAAACCCCAAGATGGGAGGAAGCGTGTCCGAAATTTCAAATTGAATCCTCTTAAAGGGGACCGATTTGGGCGTGACTCCACTCATGACTCGTCCCCTAAAAAGAACGAAGCATTCGGATTTGAAGTAATTTTTAGATCTTATAACATTACATTCACGAAAATTTCGATTGAGTGTCGAAAACCATAATCGGAGTAATGGCAACAGCCAATCATAACAAAGAAAAAATTATAGGAAGCCATTAAAAACTAAAAGTAAAAACAATCAAACTGCCTGGAGCGCGGGGAAACGTTAGAGAAAAATTCGTGATTGGATATAGTTTTGCCTCTGATTGGTCGAGCAGATAGCGCGAGTTTTCTAGACCAATCATTGGGCACAGTCAACCAAAACCAATGGATTACTTTCACCCTGCTCCCACTCCCTTATGCTTTTCCCTGCTGGTGGAGGGGCATAAGGGAGTGGGAGCCTGGAAACGAACGTGCGGAAGGGGCGTGGGTGACAGGGGAGGTAAGGGCGCTCACTAAGGCCGGAAATGGGACAGAAAAGGAAAGTGCGCGCAATAGTAAATCCTTAATCTGGAGTTTTGCGTGATAAAGGGCGGGAGATGAGAGGAAAGCAGATTACTGGAAGAGAGAGATATTCTCAACTTCCCCCGGTTTCCCCCGCCGTCTATTCTTGTACACACTAAGAAGCGTAAACTAAAAACAAATGTTTTAAATCAATGTTTGTGGCTATATGCAAGATATTGCACAATATTAACCACAGTTCTCGTCAGATATAGTTGGAATGAACAAAATGGTAATCACTATGATCTAGTTAAACTGTACTGAGCTTGGCAATATTTCAAAGGTACTTAAAAAACAGTCGATCGCTCTATTGCTTTGACTTTGGCTCATCAGCTAAATTTTACACTTCCTTTCGGAAAGCAAAACAATATGTTGTGAAAATGATGCTATTACTGAAAGAATATAACGTCAACTCATCATGCAATATTTCATCTGAACTTAATAAATCAAATATCAGATCAACCTCATAATGTTCGGCAGAGATCTGATGAAATGTTAACCTTTCAAATTTCGATAAACAATATTAAAATCAATAATCTGCTCATACCAGGCCTGTGAATGGCTTCAAGAGCGAAAATGCCGCTCTAAAAATGCAAAATAGTTACTTGTTTTCTTTCGAATGCGGGTGCATCTCTTTCTTTTTGCCCCGCGAGAAGAAGCCGCCAAACTTGCGCGACGAATGTTTGTTTTTGCCCTCATCAGTTGATTGTCCATCACTAATCTTCTCGCCATCATGGTTTTCCTCCCCTTTCCTTTTTTTCTTTTTTTTATTCTCCTTCGCTCCGCCGTGATTCTCACTCTGATCAAACTCCGCCTGAGTCGTCTGACTTTCACACTCGGACGAGAAGGAATTCTCCCTAAGTTCTTTGTCCACTTTATATTTTCGCTTACTTCCAAACATTTTTGAAAACCCGCGCGCCACGAACGACTTGCTTTTCTTTACTTTAGCCGACCGTCCAGCAGAAGGATTTAATAACTGTTTATCAGATTCTTCATCCTCCATCACAGGACTCAGCGGGCGGAGATTGAGATCCGCCTCGCTCAGTCTCCGTCGCTTCTCAGTTCCTTCAGTGGAATGTCCTCGTTTGTTTCCGCTTGGTTCGTTCAAAGTCTTGGGTGTTTCATCGTCTCCGTCATTTAGACTATTATCCTGTTCGACAGTGACAGATGGAAAAACGACTGGCTCGTGTTTATCTTTAAACTCAGTTCGTTTTTTCCCTTCACTCTCTCCATATCTTTCATTTTTTCGTTTATCCTCAGTTCTGTTTCTCGGACCCAGATCTCTATTTTGAGGAAGATTCAGGACCTTTGGGCTATCATCACGTGATTGTTTACCGCTTTCAGATTGGCCGGCAGATTGGCTTTTCCCGCCATTTTTTGATAGTGTTTTGTTTTTCACTGGTGGAATTATTTCCCCCGCGAATTCTCGTTTGGCTTTCCTAGTGTCATTCTCTTTTGAAATGTTTGAACTATTCAGTGAAAGTTCTTTTTCATCCTCGAGTCGTTTTGTTGAGTTTACAACAGTTTTTTCGTTGTAATCTTGTTCAGGAGTCGATTTCGACTGAAGCACGCCACGCTTAATTTCCTTATCCAATGTAGACACGTCCGAAACTTGGCTATCACTTCTAAAGTTTTGTTTAGCTAGATTCTCCTGCGGACCAGAAATCTCTGAATTTGACACAGTATCGTTTAATGCTGCATCGTCCTGGCTTTCCTTAGAAAACACAACCTTTTGTTTCGGTGCAGTTAAACTACAGCCTTCTCTTATTGTAACGAGCTGAGGTTTTGTATCATTCGGAATTTTGGCAGGAGTTTCTTCAGATGAAATATCTTCACACACTCCATTCAAAGCTGGCAGTTCGCCATTTTTGCCCGCGGTAGTTTTGCCAGCTTTCTTTCTTTCGAAAGAATCTCCAAAAGATTTAACCCTCTTTGATTCTTTGTCTAGTTCCTCTTCGATTTGAGTGGCAGACACGTCCTCGCTAGATTTGCGTTTTTTCATTTCAGGGACGTCTCTGTTTTCATGTTCATGTGGTTTAGATACGCCTTTAACACCAGCTTCCGATACTTCAATTGCATAGGCAGGATTCGAGACTCTGTGGTTTGATACCTCCTCTTTGTTTTCAAGCTTGTCTTTTTTCAGTTCATTTTTGTCCGCGGTAACAACGATTTTATCCAGAACCCCTTGTGTTATGGCTTGCTTCTCATCTTCTTCGGCTTCTTCCAGAATAACAAACACGTCGTCACCTGTGGTGAATAAAAACACGCGACGTTATAAACCGAGTAATCAAACACGACCTTGGGGTCATTTGGTACTTAACCTTAACAAGACCACCTACAATCCAAACAGCTTGTATAAATCAGTATTCACATTTCTACGCCGCGCATTAAAAACTAATCACGTGGTCAAGAGCCTCGTTTCCATGCAAAGAATGGGTCAAGAGGGAGCCCCCAGGGCAACTTATCCAAATAAGTAAACAAAGCGATCGAACACAATGTTCTTTATTATAATTTCTTGACCGCCCCGAACAACAATTGTGCTTTCAAAGTCAATGTTTAGGGCTGGGAAAAGTTTGCCAGGGCTAGCAAAGAACAATTTTAAGCAATCACAAAATTTGAACGAAACGAAAGCAGTTTTTTTTTTCCGGAGGCAGTATGACTGATTTAATTTCAACAATAGCTCATCAGCAGCTAATGAAAGAAAATAACATCACGTCATTTTTTACGTTGACGGAGAGTAAACAAAAACAGTATGTTTGCTTTGAAGCGTGCGCATAACAACGTTTAAATTCTAAATGTCTATGTAATAAGTATTTCGAATTTGTGAAGTTGTCATTATTTAGACCAATAAACAACCTCTTTACAATCAACGAGGAACTCGCCAATGCGCAAACAGCAATTCACTTAAAGCTAAGCGATTGTGTCATGGGAAGTCATTTGAGATACTAGTAAGTAAAACTGTCTCTTCACTGAGCGTTTTTAAATCAACCTTACAGGATATTAAGAACATATACAACAGAAAGTGAAAAACGCTCCTTAGGTTTAAAACTTCGCTGACTGAACAAAGTGTACCACACTTAATGTAGATCCAATCATTTCAAAAAGCTGTGGGAAAAGTTCCAGATATTTCGGTGTTTTCCTTACTAGATATTCAAAGAATGCATATTTTTGTTAGTATTGAATAACTTGGACGTCCGCAACTATCTGTTTGAATCTGCAAAGAGAAAAGCTTTCAGTCTCTTCTTCCGAAAATGCAGAAACAATATTTTGGCTTTTAAAGACTCTTCGGGAAAATCTTTTTCCAACTCGAATAGGTCATTAATATTCTCTAAGAACAATCTTACGCTCTGATGATTCACAAAGTTACCACAATTTGCATTTTTTGCCTTGTGGTTATTTTAATTCACTGGCTCGTCTTAACAAAATGCTATCGCGATAATCATGACTTATTGTGTTGGACTGCTCCCAGAAGAGACCATTTATAGAATTAAGAACAAAACTTTACAAAGCATTGTCTGGAACTACTGACGTGGTTGTAGCTCATTTAGGGAGTGTTCAGTCATTATGGGAAGGGTGCTTAGAGAATGTAACGTCCAAAAATCTTTTTAAAGTTTACGTGTGGAGTGAAAACCTAGTACTTTTCATTACATGAAATCTAATACCCAAACTTTCTTAGATGACGGTGTAACGACAGTAAACATCAACAACTGGCTATAAAAACTTGAGATATTTGTTAGGTAGAATCAAGAGCAGAGTGCCCTTGGAAAATTTCTCGTAGAGGTATTTTTTAGTTGTTCGGCAAACAATTCCAATATAATTTTTGTAAAAGTATGGCGAACCTAGAGTCCAGATGCTCGAGGAGAGAAAAAGACTCAGCGCCTCATTAATAAAATGTAGTTCTCTTAACCAGAAGTACGTTCAAGTTATTTAGCAACATCATTTTTTTTCAGGTTCTTATTGTGAAAATGATTAAATACGACAGCAGAGGCAAAGTGCAAGCCAACGATGGAGTGAAAGTGGAAGCGGTGAATACTATTGTATTGTTCTACAGTTCAACGAGTTTTCCTCACCATATGCTAAAGTACCCAACTTAAAGTTTTCTCCGTTTTCAGGCCCGTCCCTTTCCATACTGAACACTCTCTGACAATCTATCAACTGGTTCGCAATAACCTTTCAGCGTTTTATTTGAAATAAGACGCATCTTTTAAACAAACCATACTTCAAAATAGCTAGGCGCATTATAAAATGTGTAATAAGTAAACGTTTCAAAAGCGTGTGTAACAGGCGAGAAGCTTAGAAAATGTCACGTACGTTTAAACTTTACCACTGATTCCCACAGCAGATTTTTATTTGTCTTTTTTTCTTTGTTTTTGTTACCATGTCAAACTAACACCAGATATTTATCAAACAAAGGCACAACTGCAACTGGATAATGATTTGGCATTTTATCTTTGAGTGTCTTTGTCACGACCGAAAAAAAATTTTATCTTATAAAAAAGCGTCTCAGAAAAATATATTTCCGGTGAAAAATTTAGGCAATTTTCCTTGTGATTTTCATACCTTCAAGGAAAATATTTTTACTATGAATATCAGTTGAATGTTTTAGAATAAGAAAAATAATTTTTGGGCGTTTTTGTTCATTTTCCTCTATTTTGTTTGTCTGTAGGTCGCTTTAAGCGGAGTGTTAACGGTTCTTATCTTTCACATCACACATTTAACAGATGCAAGAATTTCAATGCTGCCGCAGGTCTTTATAGACTTCCTGCCACTTTAAAATTTCATCCAAAAGTTTTGATTTTGGGGTTTGTGGATAATATTCAACTGGGGCAAAAATATCCACGACAAACAATAGCAGTGAATTTGCAAGCTGAACCAAATTGCTTAAAAATGTGCCACAAAACTTGTTAGCTTTTGAAACAACAACCATAACTCATTTTGAATTGGCAACAGCAACAAGAGAAAATCAAGGACATGGAGGAAGGTAGTGCGCACCTTTGGGAAAACAGTCCAAAATTAAAAAGAGCCTCAATAAAATTATCATTTCGCGACCAACAAGCTGATTGGACCTCTCTCTTTCCCTTATTTTCTCTTGATGCAGTCGATCTATCTGATTGGAAGAGAAGGTCCTTCAAGATTTCTCTTAGGCAGAATCTCATTCTGTTCCTCTTCAGTCGGTTCTAATTTAGCTCGGGCCTTGGCTGGGCCCGAGATCTTTCGAAATCCGTCTTTACCTCCTTCGTCGCGGCTCCGTTTAGGCCTCGTGGGCGATGCTGATTTGACCCCCCCGGAGGATGTCCCTCTGGAGTGCTTCCGCAGGGGGAAGCCTTTCCTGATGTCACTGAGCAGTCGGTCCACAATGCACCCTTCTTGTTCCTCGTCTACTGGCCGCGGTTTGGTCTTCACTTTTCCCCCTGCTTCAGCATTTCTAGCTGCCTCTTCTGCTTTCTTTTTCTCGCGTGCCTTTCGTTTTTCCTCTTGGATACGAAATTGTTCGTTATCCTGGAACGAGAGAAAAGGATATAAAGCTAAGTACAAAGTATTTGTTATTGTGCACTTCTCGCTACAAATATACGAAACAGCAAAACAAGTGTTTATTCACCTTCTTAGCTTTGTTCAGCTGATCACCAAAAGTCTTGAACAAAGACAATAACTCCTGCAGTTTTAATTTTCCCTCGTCCTCGCAGAAATACATCGCCAGTTGTTTGGTGAGGCTGTGGATTTCGGTGATGCCTTCCTCTAGCTGCTTCGCCTTCTCTAAAGCGCCCTGTAAGTGATTTACAATATGCTCATTGCAGGGCAAGAAAACATACTTAGTTTATGACCAAAAAAGTTTTGTCCGAACAAAAAAAGAAAACAACAAAATATTTACAAAAAACGGGGGATCAACTGCTTAAGAGAGCCCTTCATTTTTTCGTTTTTTCTTTTTCGATAGTCCGAACGATTTGAGCATATGGCGTGAGTGCAGGCGCGTGTAACGCTCTCATCAAAATAACCTGGAAATGCATTCGTTGTGCCTCACTACGTTGTCTGATTGGTCAAGTAAACTTTCGCCACCCTCGCGACCAATCAGAGCGAAGCTAAACCTATTCGCGACTTGGCTACAAACTTTTCCCCGCGTTTTGCTTTCACTTTGGCTTCTCATTGGCTCCTTGTCACGTTCTCGTTTGATTCAATTGGCTGTGGTGATTATAATGGTTTTATCTTAACAACACTCTGTCAAAAAGCTATTTTCAACGTAAAGAAAAAAGCGAGGCAGTGAACAAAGAAGAAAAACCAAACAATCTTACCTCGATGAATTCAGAAAATTGAGTGCAAATATCTTTCGGTCCACTTTTCATATCTTTTTCAAGGCTTTTGAGTTTGTTTTTGAGGCCCACTACTTCTCCAGTAAGATTGTCTACAGATAACCTAAGTTTAAGAAATAAGGCAATTACTTCCAGTTTCATTATTTTGAATTCACGATGTCTAACAGACATAACTGACGACTATTAACAAACCATGTTTATGTCGGACTATCAACTCATTACTTTTCAAGAGCAACAACGCTTACTTGACGGCTTTGTCAAGATGCTTCATGTCTTCGGTAAACTTTAATACTTTCTCGCGTTTCTCCTCAGCAACCTAAATAGATGCAAAACATGCTTCTGTGAGACAATTTTCTCACGCTCCCAATAAATTTCACGACTGTTCCCAATGTCTCAGCTAAAAAACGAATAGGAGTCCAGAAACCAACCTGCTTTACGCATTTACTATGTTTGATTTTCCGTTTTTTTTTGCTCTTCTGAGCTTTGCATTTAAAAATTTTCACAGCTTTCCCGCCGCGCCTGGAGCATGTTGCATCTTTTCCTAGACACGACTTTCCCGCACTTAGCAATAGCCGTGTTTCCGCGCTTACCAAGTATTTTTTCCCGCGCTGGTCGCTAGTAAAGTTTTTTCCTGCGCTAGGCGCGGATATTGAATTGCTAGGCTTTGTTACCAGCTGTAACTAGTTCTTTGTAATTCAAAATAGCTTAAGTAATCAAAGAAAACGTGCGAACTTACGTGCACCAAGAAGTTCATGAGGGTCATGCGGGGTTTGTTTGCTCTCGTGTCCACAATCTTTAAGAGTGAGTTGATCTTAAAAGCCACAGCATTCCCAGCGTACCCTCCCTACAACATAAAACATAAAAGAAATGTCTGTTAGTGACAAGGTTAGGCTTGCATAGGACGGAAAAAAGATGAGTTTGAAATAATAATAATAATAATAATAATAATAACAATAATAAAAATAATAATAATAAAAAAAATAATAATAATAAAAAACACCTCTTACCGAGTTCAGAAAATTGCCAATGATCAAAATCAGTTGAAGAACCTCTGGTAGAATTTCACTGTTGAGGATATCTGAATATATTTGAGGTCGATTAGTATTTAGTCTAAAAGAATGAAATACAAAATACAAAACTCTGCATTGAAACCAACAGAGATTTTCAATCAAAATTAAACTTAACGTGTCGCTTTTCTAAGTTCAAATCCCTTCTACGCTTTGTAGTGATAAGTTGTTCTCTTTTAGTTTCGGGATGTATCCTCTGTTAATACAAATAATGACTGCTAGGTAACCTATGGTCAAAGTCTACCTTGTGTAACTAAAGCGACTTCTCTTCCACCTCAATAACAAATGTTTGAAAATAGTAATGAGATTCTTTTCATATTTTTTCTAGATTTTAAGAGTTCGAAAAAACTATGCACACCTTGTATTGCTCCTTTCAAAGATTCTAAACTCGGTTCGATTGTTTCAACTGTAATCTGGAACTCCTCCTTTTGTAACATGGCCTCTAGACGAAGGTTGTACCTGCTCAGAAAAACAAACAAAAAATCAGATAACCACGATAATTGTTTATCTTTTATTTATTCTCTCAATTCAGTTACAAAGATATAATTGAAAGAAATTAAAATGATAACAAAAATTTAAAATAGAGAACAAAGTAACCATACCCAGGAATAGAGACCAGTGCCAACAAAAACTTCTCAGCCGAACCCAGCTGGGTTTTGTCGCCAGAGAATCCTTTCAGCATTTCTCTCTGAAAAGGGACACAACACAAACAAATTTCAGTTTGAGAATTTATCTTAAAAGTCCTCTTCACGCTCACAGGATATAGTTTAATCTCCTAAGCTGTTTTCTGAATAATGTATGTATACTCTAAGGAGACGATAAGTTAGACTATAGGTTAGACTATTTTATAAAACACCTTTGCTCTTAGATACTGACCTCTGTGTTGTCTGGAAGGAGTTTGATGAACGATTTCAGGACATCAACATCAAAAGCTTTGCTGTTCCCGTTTTGAATCAATCCAACAATCTCTTCGTTTGACCTAAAGGAAATAAGGAAAACGTTTATTCGAAAATTGTACGCCTCCTTTCAAACACTTGCCTCTGCTCTTGTTACATTGGCAAACGAGAGAGTCGCTACTACGCTTTGAGAACTCCTGGGTGCGAAAACTAACCACATCTTGGGGTGATTGGTGATGGGGGCATGGCTTAGGGGGATTCTAGAGACTACGTAATTTCCCTTCCCCCTAATAATAATAAGAAATAAAAATAGCAAAAACTAAATAAAGAAATAAATAATTAAAGAGGATTTTGGCAGCACTACCACCCGAAGGTAGATCTTCGTCCAATGCTTCCAAGTCAAATTGCAAATTGTGGAGGAAGGAGAACCGGAGGACCCGAGAACGTAAAAAAATCCAACAAACTCAGCCTACATGTGACGTTAGGTCCGGCAATCAAACCCAGACCCTAGTGATGGGAGGTGAGCACTCTCACGTTTACCCCATCCCTGTTCTCCACGACAACCTAGCGTGCACCAAATTCGACTAGGAGCGACCGTAATCTCCCCCTCCCCCCTTGAAATTCTGTCTACGCCCAAGATAAAGAGTTTTCCAATATCCAGTCCGTAGCTCAATGAAGGAGAAGTCAACGTGGCAAAGCTACAATAATACTCAAAAGAGACACACAGCAATACTGACTTTTTGAACTGCTTCATAAAAATGTTAACGTTCAGACTCCTCTTTGGATCCAGTAGGGTGATCTACAAAAAGGAAAAAAAATTAATTGCAATGAAATAGTAACTTTCCCAGCGTCTACTAATCTTTTTTTTTTTGCTGAATTCACGCCTCCATGGCCTCTAACACAGTCACGCGATACACTCCACCCAAAGTGGTACTCTCACACAAGACAAGCAAAAGTAATCAACCCATACCTCTGAGGGCTCCTTCTTCTTTGTCTCCGTCTTCTTTGCTCCGCCCGTCTTCTTTTGACAAAACCACTCCTCTTCCAGATGAAAATCAGGCTGGATTACCTCCAGCGCCATGACACGTGCCCATACACACGTCTTACTCCTCTGAATCACGTGCGGAGGAAGCTTCTGCCACGCTAAGGATCGCATCTTACTCTTGGGTTTCACCGGAGGGACGAGCGGGCAGCTGACACTACGATGGACGGGCTGCTGGTAAACTCGAGTGACTCCAAACCCACCCAGAGGCGGCGGAGGTGGAACTCCCCCAGCTCCTGGAGGTGGTGGGGGCGGAGGTACTCCCCCCATTCCAGGTAATGGGGGAGGCGGGGGTGCTCCACCCATCCCTGGAAGAGGCGGCGGTGGAGGTACTCCCTCCATTCCAGGTAAAGCGGGTGGTGGTGGTACCCCGCCCATTCCTGGAAGAGGTGGAGGTGGAGGTACTCCTCCCATTCCAGGTAAAGGGGGCGGTGGCGGTACCCCAGCCATTCCTGGAAGAGGTGGAGGGGGAGGCACGCCACCCATTCCCAGTAGAGGAGGAGGAGGAGGAGGAGGAGGGGGTATTCCACCCACTCCTGGAGGAGGCGGTGGTGGAGGAACTACCCCAGTTCCTAGAGGAGGTGGTGGTGGCACGCCAACCTTTCCAGGCAGAGAAGGAGGAAGTGGTACTCCATTCATTCCTGGAAGAAGAGGAGGAGGAATCTCACCTCTTCCTATCACGGGGGGCGGAGGAGGGGGTGGAGGAATGGCTGAGGCTCCTACAGAAGGAGGAGTAACAGGTCTCCCGTACGAAAAACTCTCATCTTTTCCTGGCAGTGAAGGTGCGCTTTCAGTTGTTTCTACGTGATTCATTACGATTTGAATATCTTCACCATTTGATTGTCCAGGCAGGGGTGGCGGAGGAGGAGGTGCAGGAGGATTGTTTAAGCCGAGTTCATTTACAACACTTTCAAGGTCCAACATAAGTTCTGGACTGGATGATCGCCCCTCTTTTTTCTTGTTATTCTGAATGATACCTTCAAGAATTTTAACAGAAGCAGGAGCTGCTTCTTCATCTTCAAATGTCATCGGGCATGCTTCCTCTAGATTTGCTTGTGTGGAAGCCTGTATTTCCTCGTGAATCCCGTTTGCCACAACAGGCGTCGAACTGGGGTCATCAACAGAGACAGAACGCACGCAAGCTGAACGTACATCTTCTGACGATTGCTGCGCCACGGACATTCGATGGGTCAAGTTTTCATCAGGAGAACCACTCCGCGTGTTGCTGCCTTCCCTTGATGAACCTCCATGTTGTAAACTGGTAAATTGCCTCTCACCCTCCTCTAGGATTGACTCCGCTCGATTACGACTGTCGATGTTCACAGCTCGTTTTACAAGTTTCTCGATCACTTCCCAAACCGAGTCCGACACAGGTGAGTCATCCTCGATCAAAAGCAGGTTTTGTAGAATGCTTAATAGGTTTACACCTTGAGGTTTGTTACTCACCTATGAATATAGATAGATGCCTGTCAGTAAAGGTAATATCACGATTTCAAATGCAATTTTGTGTTAATGAGCACAAGTAAATGTTTCAAAGACAACAAACTTGCACGAGCCTGTAATTTTTTCTTGTACATTGCCACAAACTTAATGTATAGCTTACGTGCGGACGTCGGCGCTTGTTTTATTTTGACCCTCAACAACCAATTTGTTCTTGCTTTCTGTCTTTCATACATAAATCATTTTAGTTTTCTTGTATGCAATGATTGGCATGGGGAGATTTTGCTCAGAGTGAAAAAAAAATCTTGTGAGAGCAAGAAGACATTTTTCCTCATAGTTGCACTTAATTACCACAGGAAAAAGGCAAAGACGTCGCCAGAATATAAGGACAAACCTTTCTAAACAAAGCGTGAAATACGTCCAAGTGAGACGTCAGATTTACTCCCTCAGGGGAGTTCAGATCATCTTCATCCTCCAGTCTCTGTTCTTCAAACACATCGAGTTGAACCAATAACTCTTCGTCATCGTTGTGCCTGCGATAAATGACACAATGCACGTAATTACGATTGCCCTCTTGAAGTTTTTGCCGCGTAAAATTGAAAGCCGAGCGATGACACAAGCAACGAAAGAGGCGAATCGTATTCTCGTTCTCAGATTCTCCTCGCTACCTGAAATTAGGGAAATCACTTGACCGTGGGAGGTCAAGGTACGAACTTAGGCGACTTCTTCAATTCACTGTCGTTCCATAAACATAGTTTCTACCCGGCGACTAACAAGTTCCAAGAAAACAATGAACACATTTACAGGTTAACGGCAATTAAACTGAAAGCAGGAAACCATACATGAAAAAATTCAGGCCTCGACGGGCGTTTGTTTGGAAGATCTTCTTAAAGTTCAAACGTTCACTACCCGTCAAATATATATATTTTTTTATATTTTTATATATACGTATATATTTTTTATCATTACTCTCTTGCGGAGAAAGATGTAAGATCGATACATCAAAATAATTCGGGGAAACTCATAAATCTACTCAAATATTAATAGATAAGATTTTGGAGGTTTCATTTGTAGAGCTTCTTTCTTGCTTGTGTTGTTGCGCAAACGAACACAAAAAATCCGGAAAATCAATTGAATCATAATACGCTGTGTTTTGGTTGGGTTATTGCGCAAGTAAGCTCATAAAAAACGTGAAAATTGCAATTAATCTATCCACTAAATACATTTTAGCTGCCGGCAGAATGGAAACAAGTACTGAAAATACAATTAAATTAAGTTTACCGAACAAAAGCAAATCGGGGAAAATGCGAGATTTGTGTTACATAAAACACTGTGGAAAGCGCTGTTAAATAAATAATAACAACAACAAATTCTCATACTAAGATATTTTTCTAATGTGTTATCAAATATCTTACCTCAAATTGCTTAGGATGTCCAAGAGTCCTAGCCCTGTTAAAGAATAATTGAGAGCCATTAGATTTCTGCATGTTACGACTACATGCTGACCAGTTTTCAAAGCGCGAAATTGGCCCAAAAGTGCTGTTTTTTCGCGGCATTAGAAACTAAAATATTACCCACATAATCTGAAGTTGTTACATGTGTTCATAGAATTAAACCAGAGCTTCGTACTTCAAAAATTATAGGTCCCACTGCGAGAACGATTCTTTGATGCGTGGAAGTGTATGTGATGCCATTTGGTGTCTCACCTGCCGATTCGCATGGAACTCGCTTCGCACGGCCGAATTTTGCAATGTAAAGGTTCTTTGCTGTCCAATTGCGATAAACATGTAAACCACAAACATCATAGCCCTCAATTTTCTCACTGCTGGAAACACTGCGGGACCAAACAATGGAGGAAAAACCCACGAATGATTGGATAGTACGCTAAGAAAACCGCGACGAGCGAAATACAGTGAACCATAATATCTGACGATTTCTATGGCAAAATTGCATATTTCTTGCCTTCGAAATTATTCTTCGCTTATTCCCGAACACTTACTTAAGAAAAAACGAAATTTGAAGGCTAATGTTTAAAATTTTTTTCTGTTAAAGAGGTTTTAAAAGAAGTAAAAACAAATTTATCGGTAATTAATGTGACCGTAAAGAAAAAACTTAAATTTTCTGCATCCTTGTTTTCGTTGCGCAAATCTTTCCACATACCAAAACTAACGGAATTTGGTGAGCTTGACAAAGGATCTTCTTCACTCTGCTAAAATATTGGCTACATTTCAAGAAATGCTCTAAGTGCAAACATATGGTATGAAATGCTTTGTTTATGAAAAGACTACGAGAACATCTTTACGTACAATGCGATCTAAGGCCGTTGTTTGGAAAAACAGACAACTCTTTAAAACTTCATGAAACTAAGTGAAGCACTAAAGATTTTAGAAAACACACGAGTACAAAGGACTGTATTTGTGAGTATCCTTAATGAGTGAAGCACAAAGATAAGATAATTCTACGTATTTGAGGTGAAATATTTGAAAAGCTAATTCAAATGCAATGCAAACTAAAACGTTGTCAAGAAGAACCTGTATTTTGAGATAAAACAACAGTTTTGAAGTGGGAGACTAATTTGAGGTAAAGGAAAACGCTTGAGATGAAAGGAAGCTTCTGAAGAAGTTACATCAAGATTTTTCGTGCGTCGGAGGTAAGGGAGGGTAGAGTGGTTTTTGAGAAGGAATTTTATTTATTTTCAGATAACAACGTTTAGTTCTTCGGAATAGATTACTGTTACATATTGGGAGTCTCAGATGCGGCATAGCACCTCAGAAAAACCTATAACTTTATAAATAGAACAAGAGAGATCGTAAGTTTTGAGCTCGGTGAAGAAATAGAGAAAGATGTTTTTCGTCACGTCACGAGCGTGGGACAAAGAAAAAATTCTGAGTCCCTATGAGGAATCGAACGTCAGACCTTCGGATTCCGCGCTCCGATGCTCTGCCACTGTGCCAAAGAGACTCTACAGTGACCGAGGTCTATTACGAAGTTCTAAGACACACGCCCTGCATACTGCTAGGATCAGCAATGTCGATAGCGTCTTGATTTTAAATAGGATAAGAGAGATGTTAAGTTTTTGAGCTCGGTAAAGGAACAGAGAAAGATGTTTTTCGTCTTGTCACGAGCGTGGGACAAAAAAAAAATTGTGAGTCCCTATCAGGAACTCAACCTATAGCTTTGTTGTAAGAGCGTAGCCTTGGCTTGAAATTGAAAAATTGTACCGTGATCGTATTGACATTGGCGTCTTCTTACCTGCAAACTCATTTCTCAGGCGGACTCGTTCTTCAAAGTCTTCCGTAGCGATGAGTATAGTGTTGATAAAGGCTAAACACGTGGTCATGTATGGTATAACTTCGGCATTTTTAAGCTCATTGATGATCAAACTAAATCTGTACCGCTGACCCTTGGTGAGCTGCGGTTGAAATGAAATAAAAAGGATAAAAGTCATGATCAGATTGGTTAATCCTTTACAGCCTAACATCAGTATTCACATTCTCTATACTGTACTCTGTACATTAACTAAGGTGCTGACAGGGAGAATTTGTCTAACAATCAAGAGTTTCTTTAGTTGGTGATCATTTCCTTTATTATCATGATATTCATGTTTGTTTCAGTGATGATATTGTGAGGAGAAATTAGATGCTAGTCACTCGTAGGGTTCACTCTTCACTCGAGCCAAGTGGCCCATCCAGCCGGAGCTCATCCCGGTTTCAAGAACATGAAAAGGCTAGGGGTATTGCCGCCACCCACCCCCCCCCGGAGGAGAGGGGCTAATCCATTTCTAAGATAACACCCCCCCCCCTGAAATTCATCAATTACCCTAAAAGCCCACTGGTACCCATTTATACTCGTGGGTTGAGAGGGTGGGGGGGCTAAAGTGTGTAAAGTTTCTGCACAAGGTCATCACGGATGTTCCTCCACTGAGCTAAAGAGAAGTCTATGGCAATCAGAGTCATTTCTAAGTTCATATGTGACACGTACGTGTCCTTTAGAGTTTATCGTTTCTTTTATTCTCATAACTGGTTTCCTCATAAATAAAGCAAAGTTATGAAGAGAAATTACATCCTAGTGACACAAACTCACCTTGTAATTCTCAAGCGCGTCAATGGCCAGTTTGTGTCCTTGGTTGGAATAAAGGCAGAGAGCGGATAGAAGTTCAAATACTTGTTTCTTAATCATTGTGTTGTTTGTATCGAGCGCTGAAAGAAAACGACAGGGAGTTAATTAAATGTGAGGTTAAGGTCAGCATACAAGGAAAAGGCCCCAGCCCCCCCTTTATGAGATCCCAGACCATCGCTGATTGCCCCTCCCCCCACCTTCTTACCATTATGTCAGGCTTCTCTGACAGTTCGTCTGTGGAGAAGAGAAGCATGGCGAGACTAAAGTACTTTGCTCAAGAACACGACACAGTAACCCGCTATGTTAATTTATTGACTCAAAAAATCTGGGAATTGAGAAAAACTGCAAGTCAAAATTTTCGAATGTCTTAATGTTAAATTTACTCCATAAAAAATGAAGCAAATAAGGATAAAAAAGTATATATGTTAACGGAAGGGTAATAAATAAACCTTTTACCAATTACCCAAAATTAGAACACCAGTCTTGTCTATTTTTACAACGGCTAATGAGAGTTTTTCTTTTTTTTTCCTCTTAATTTCGCAGGCGATTTTGCCAACTTAACAACTCAGTAAACTTACGAAAGTAACCCATTTCATAAACCATACAAAACACGGGTTGTGTTTCCACTTTAAAACTTTTAAAGGTTCTAAGAAAAACTATCTTTCATTCGCTACATTGAACACCATTTAGAGAGAAAGTTGATAAAAAGAATCACTACCAATCTTCATTGCATATAAATTCGTTATTACCCCAACAAACATATGGTGATGCAACTTTGAGATTGGCATTTGCTTTTCTCTAATGGGATCTTTTAAATAATCTAAACAAAAAGAACACATTATCTAACTTTTTCTTTAAATAATTAATTTTTCCCTTAATATGCGTTTCAGATCTCCAATAAATGGTGAGGTGAAGACAGATTGACGCCGGGTCGTCCAAAAATAGAGACTGTTCTAAATATTGGCAAAGGTGAAATGTCGCTTTTCATATCATACAAGGGAGCAACTGGGAACGAACAATGAACAAGCTACAATCAGTTTAAATTGGCTTAAAATGGAAGCGTTTTCACATATCAGTAGAGCAAAGCACTGTGCCGAGCAAAGTTTACTAGAGTCACGAGATAAGATAATTAACAGCCAAAAGCAAAAGATAATTAATTGTTTCTGGAATTTTCATAGCTGTGCCAAGAAAAAGCCATTTCATCGCTTAAGTTTATAATTTCAAGGGTTTCCCCTTTCTGGAGGTTTCTCTTTTTTAACATTCACTTAAAAATACATATATTAATTTCCTGTGAAACAGAACAATGTTCATTTTCTTTTCCGCGTGAGAACAAAATAATACTCGTAACATGTTGACATCCGGCATCCGAAAGACAATGTCACTGGTTTATTGCCAAACACGATAAAATAAAATGTTTAGAAAAATGAAATAGTTTACATTGAAAGAAAAAGGTCCTCATCTGTCTTCGCCAATATTACGAAAATATTTTGAGACCAAATATTACTGTAAATGAGAAAAATTAGGTACAATTAGCTATCACGAACGACGAAGCAAACTTTTATTAACGAGACGTTGGCTAAGACTTTAGAAACACTGAGGTCTCAGGAAAGTATGAAAAAAAATTCGATTAAAACTTTTTCCTTTGTCTCGTAATTTGAATTAATCAATAAGCAATTTGAAAATCATTTGCTCGTAAAATGAACTTGTTTGAAATTTCGGTAAAAAAATAAACAATGCTGATTAAGCGCCAACCTTTAGCCAGATTTCGCACCAGAGTCTTGTTTCTGATCATTGAATCAAGTCCCCGTTTCGAATTCATAACCGCTTTGATGCAGTTGACGCACTCGAGCTGCATACACGCCTCCATAAACGCCATTTTTTCCCCCTTGCTTAATCTCTTCAAAGCTTGAAAGAGGATTTCCAGCCCACCACGAGAGAGAAATTCTGTAATCCATTCAGCAGAACTGGTTTGAATCTTTGCCCTGAGCCCGGAGAAATTCTGAAGACACGAAGAACTAAGAAGACGAATGCAAAGTTCAGCGGAGACATCTGATGAGATGGTGAGGTTTTCGACTTGTTTTCCCTCTGTAACGCTGTTGAACTTTTGTCGAACTACGCTCCATATATTTGCAACACTCACGGTAGCCATAACAAAGGGAAATTAATACTCAAAGCCGTAAAATCGTTTAACCAACCAAAGAAAATCAACAATCCATTTGCGGTCGGTAAAACTGGAAAGTATTCTCATCTAAAACCGCATTTGGGAACAGCGAGCATATCAATGGCCATTACAACCGCCAGGTCAGTTTTTAACGCAACCTTCTCAACTCCTCCAAATGCAAATTTAACTCTCGAGGCAAGCCATGATGTCTCGTTTCAACAAAAAAAAGTTATAAATGAATGATTAAAAACTGACCAACGTGTCTTGCCTGGAAACGCTTTGCAATTAAAATCATTCTACTTCCCTTCAGGAAAGAATGAATGTTTTACATCGCGCAGGTGACCAACATTTCAAGATAGTATTTCGAATAATGCAAACATTCATTCATGAATGCCACTGTTTTCTATGTTTTTTAATCATCATGACACTGTTTTCTCAGTAAAAGGCCTTAATTGTGATTGCTATGGAATAGTAAATGAGTCACTTTGAGCGGCTGCCAGAAGTGTTGTCGTATTGATTCGGTGTCAGTAAGATCACTTGAACATAAACAAAGGAGAGAATTATTTTTGTAAGATGATGGGCCATTTTATTTGAGAAATTCCTCTTCTTAGTTAAGCAAATTTCGTTACAACAAAGACGATACACTTATGTTGTCTTTTTACATCAATAAATAGCATAAAACTACAAAGTGCATCTTTTGAGTTATTTTGGGAACAGAACTCGAACGTGAGATATTAAAATTCGAAACTAACCCTAATTATGAATACTTCGAACACTATTGCGCAGGTGAGAGGAGGTAATATTGTATTCAAAAGAGAGCCTTCAAGTTTAGCCAGTGCGACATTAGACTACTTTAAATATGAATAAATATTATTAAAGTTCTATCGTCTTTTTTCGTATATGTAAGTTACAAGAAACTGGCTCAGTCGACTTCGGTAACTAGGCGCTATATAAATGAATTTTTTTCCCCGCGCGCATTGGAGGAAATTGGACAAAGCATTTACCACGGTTCAGTTTGATAAAACAGAAAAGTGGAGGCCGTAGCTTGTTAGTGAATTGAAAGTGATACCCTTAGGTAATACTTTCTTTTAAACCGCTTCAGGGTGAGATATCATGTTATTTACCGTAATCGTAAAACTACTTTGCGAAGGTCAAGTTTTCAAATTTGTAATAATCATTCTGGCGCATTAGTTATCGCGAAAACTTGTTTGTTATTTTTCTGAGAAATTTTAGAGCGGTGACAGCTAGCATTACTATTTTTTTTGTAAGCTAACACATTCCCAGAAATTTCGCCTGGTGCATTCCCTACACATAATTATTTTTCACTTTTGACTGAAAACGCCGTTTAATTCATTAGTATACCGACAATAGAATTTCAGCTTTTTCAGCAATGTTATTTTAGCTCTTACTTTGTTTGCCAAACAAAATCAGTTGTAAGGAAAGTATACATTGTAGAAAAAGGCAAAACAATAAAACAAACAATTCGTAATCAATGTTAACGACTCCGGTGGACTGGAGCTAGGAAGAATCGCTCCCTAGAAAACTGTTTCCTTTCAAACATTTTCTATGGTCTATGAAGAAAACTCGTTCATTATACAGCTTAAAATATAATCGGTAAGATGCGTTTTATGTTCACAATTTTCCGTTAATATTTTTCTGATCTGATTATTTTTTTTTTTACGCTATTCAACTATTGATGCAGCATAAAACATTCACATAGCTTTGAGATACTGCATCGTTGAACTGCAACAACGACATTGCCTTAAAGTCTAAACGTTGAAAAAAAATTATCGAAAGGAATAGAGGAACGTTACAACTCCTCTAAAATACAAGTTAATACATCTTTCTTGGTGTTTTGAAAATAACATTTACAACATTACGACTCTAAACCTAGTCATTTAATGTAATTACGTTTGGATGAAGATTTAATAAATAAGCTGAAAAGACTGTGTATTAGAAAATCCATCAGAATTTTGCATCACACTTGCTAATGCTTTGATCACATGGCCAACAAACTCGTTAGGAAAAGTCACAACAACAAACCCTTTCTGTTGTGTCGGTCAAACTAAGTTAGCTGTACTGCAAAATATCACTTACGATCGCGAAGCCTTTGCTGACAGTATTTCAGAATAATTTCGGCCAGCCTTGACTAAACATAGAACCTCCATTAAATCGAGAGATAAATACTAAAAGATTCTAATTCCTGCCGAAGTATAGAAAAATAAATTTGTCTGAGATAAATTAGCCCCAACGAAACTTTTCCTTAACACAACCTGACGTTCATTTAAGTTCATTTGAAGGAATTATCGTCTTCCACATGAGAGGAATTATCCTCTCTTGTCTTCCATGAAAGAGAAAAGAGAGAAAGAGTAAAACGTAAGCGAATTCTTAAAGTTGGTCCGCTTTTAATTGAATCGGCATCAGCTATGTAAAATGACAGTTTAATGAAGTCCCCCCGCGAAGAATTTACAATCACTTTGACATGTTTAGTCTCTTGGTTTTCGACTGAAAAATTAAGTCAATCTACATGTAAACGCCTGCAATAAAACTGAGTTCATGGACGATGAAGTTGCCAAGGAATTGCGTAAATACGGAACTCAGACAGGGGTAGACGGCAACGAGGTAATACAAAAGAATCTATGAGCAGAAAATGGCCCTGCGCAAGTTTTGTTTCTGTTGTTTTTTTTTAACTAAGTACATTTCGATGCCTTCCACTACTAAACAAAAACGTGACACCTTAAAAAACTGCAGTGTATTCTGAGAGAAAAAAACCCCTGACACAAATATTCACGTTTCTTACTATCATTCTGTTATTAACGCTGAATTAACATGTCATGTTGACAAGAAACATTTTTAAACACTTTAGAAACACAGAGAAAAAAACGTTTCTCTTGATCATTTAGCTCGACTGGATGTGTT